GCTGAAGTAAATGGCGAGGATTATCCAAGATTTCTCGATCACTGAAAAGTAGAAGGCTAATGAAGGTTTCCGAAGACGACACACGTAACTTTAATCACTCACGGTTTCATCTCGATCTCCTCTTCATCAGCTTCATTACGTGTTGAGTTGTCAAGGGACGGTTCAATTCCGACGTCAGGCTGGGACGGTAGCGCGTCAATCTGTTGATTTCTTTTGCGAGTATGTCGGATTACTTTCACAAGCCGTCCATTTTCATCTTGACGAATGAACGTGTTCTGGTCAGCGCCTGTTTCATCACATTCGGAGTCTTCATCTGAATCAGCGATAGACAGTATATCGCTGTCACTTTCCTCCGTTATTTCGCCTTCGTCAACGTCCTCATCGATTCGCAACCCCGTGTTAGAACCGGGAGAGTACTGTTCCTGCTCAGAAGAGTTGAACTGCCCTGGTGACGAAGTCAGCATAGTGTCTAGCTCCTGGAAAAAACCATAACTCCGGGAGCAACAAATTTTTAACAAAAAAATGGAGCAGTTTAGCGACGGGAGGGGGGAGGGCATTTCACACTTTTACAAATTCTTATCGATGTGTAGACCCGCCTAGAGAGCCATTTCGTGAGCTTACAAGAGCCGACAAGTTTCATCATGGTGGCTCGACGAGCTTGCTCCAGCTTCACAAGAGTTCACAGGTTTCACCAGAGTGGGACTTGTAAACCGGAACTAGTGAAGCAGCGAAAGTGCAAAATGCCCCCCCCCCCTCCGTCGACGAAGTGCACCAAAAAATGTCTTGCAGTAACAAACCTCAAGCGTCACATTACGAGTCCCTACAGCAGATGGCACATAGGTTTCAAATTCTTCAACAACTGTTGCATCTAATGGATCATACTCCTGTAATATGATTTTTTTTAATCATTACAATCAAAAGCCGAGAAGTCATAAATTAATTGATCTAACTACCAACCTCATCATCTTCGTTTGGAGCTTCGTCCTGTGGTTCCTCCTTTGGTGAATGACGATCTCCACCACCGTCTTCCCGTGCTTTTTCCCCAGCCAGGACAGTAACACAGCTCGTTTCTTCCCCAGCGGAAACAGCGCCACAGCTCGACGGCCCATCTGACTCGGGAGGAGAAATGCGTTCGGGTCGATGCAAAAATGGCAAAGGGACCTGAAAACACAGATTACTTGGAACAAGATCAGGAAAATTGAAATATGAAACATACTTCTTTCGCAGGCAACAACTCCCCACTAATTTCGTCGAATGGTCTTATAGACGATACCAAAAATACCACATGTTCCAAACAGGTTCTTACATCAGCCATCACTTTAAAAAAAGGATGAAACCATTCATACAATACATAAGGATTATGACTGAACTCACT